CGGCCTCCACGGCCTCGACGGTGTTTTAGTTTGGACGTGAAACATTTTAAAAATGAAGCTTTTCAAAAATGATGACCATGCGATCATCATGATAGTCCTCTGCGCTGCCCGAGCTTTACTCAAACACAAATCCAAAATGACCGGAGATTGTTGCTTTTTCAAATTTCTCCGGCGTAGTGTGGACGGAAAACATCTGAGGTGTTTCAGAGTGAAACCTTCGTTTTCAAATTCTCCCGGGGTAGTGTGGATGGGGCCTGAAACACATTCAATTGATCCAATACGATTACGACACTAAGGATATTTTAGTGGTTGCTTCCCGACTAAGGCGAAAGCTTACCTTTCAAGACCCAAATTTTCTTCATTTCCACGAGTATCGTCTTTCTGTAATGCTAGGATAAAAATATCTAAACGTATAACCAATTCATTTCCTTATCAGATCTGTTATGGTTACTTGGCCTTTAACCATGCAGTATCAAATTAACTTGAATCACTTTTTATTAGTCCTCTTACTTTTAGAGAGCCCTATGTCCCGGGGCCTATGTCCGTTTTTAGTACCGAAGTCCTTGATTAACAATTTATTTCTCTCCGATAATAAAATAGCCTTTCAATTATATGGGTCTGTTTCCGTGCTCCAAGATTTCCGTCTTCATGTTTTTGTTAGAGACTCGCCATTGTTGGGCGTGTGCCCTGGTCTTCTACCCAAAAGGATGTGTGCGTACATACTAGCCCTTTATGTCACTTATTGCTCACGAAATAAAATGATTTCATGGTTTGAATTACGTTTGGTAAAGTATTAAAGTCAAAACTCAGACCAAACTAAATAGAGAAATTCTTATACCCTTTTCCCCAACTAGTCGTAAAAGATCAGAGTCCTGTCTAGATAGAGTTAATAGGAATTATCTTGGGACTGGAGTTTCATTAAGACACGTTGTTTAGTCACAATGTCAATGGTTCTTCGCTCGTACCTGAAACACGCCTCCTGTGGTGAACAAAGCAGACCATGATACTTAGGAAGAGGATACCAGAAATGACGCTCAAACTGATCACTGCAGCAGTATTGGTTCTTTCACTTTCATGGGCTATTGCAGTTGGGAAAAGAAAGACGTTACAATTAAAGAAAATCAGGCTTATGTTCAGTTTGATTCAGCTCTTTATCTGATACAAGCTGCTTTGCTACCAGTCTTTCCAACAAGCTAATAAGTGGACCCAATAAGCGTTAGTCAAAGAAGAAATACAGGTCGTAATAATGGTAGGTAATAGTAACTTTAAGTCAAAGAACGTGGGGAGTGAAACATGCAAATCTTCCATACCAGAGGCACATAAATAGAAGAATTCCAAAGGCCCAGAAAGGCCCTACTTGAGAGGCTTTTCAACCTTCTGTAGCTAAGAAGGGGGTTAAAATGGGTTATCAAACAGAAATTGGAGGCGAAGTGTGCTTTAGTTCACTAGACTAGAACGGTCGCAAGTTGTTTGTTGCTCTCACTTCGCCAACTGCAGTTAACGGTTTTGGTTTAGCATCTGACAAAAGGGAGGTGAAGGAGAGCGACGTAATAGAGAAAGCTTTGGATGGCCTAATCTTGTAAGAGAAATATTTATCAACATTTACCTCTCACTTGCAACTTGTACCAGGCATCTACTGGCCCATAATCGGAGAAATTAGCAATGCATCTGTAAATCCCTCTGTCTTTAGTAGATACTTTTTTGATTACATAGTAGAAATGATGGTCTTTTAAATCATTCGAATGCTCATCAGAGCGGGAGAAATTAGCGGTCTCCAGGGTTTGCTTGGTCTCTTCTCGAATCCACTTTGCAGCAATGAAAACCCCTGTGTCTTGAATCTTGCATTGTAAATTCACTCTATCGTCAACGGCAAATGTAAAGTTGTCTGTTGCAATGTTAACATGCGGTCTATCTTTGTCTGGGTCTAGGTATAAACCAAATAAACATTAGACATCTTTATATTGAGCACCAGTTCCCTAGGTGTACAATAGACCATATTCGTATTCTCGGTATTGGACTGGAACTAGCTTGCAATAGAGGCTCATGCGGGGAAATATCATTAAAAAGAGATTAATGTCATTTGCATTTGAAAAGATTCCTCACATTAACCTCATTTGCAAGCTAGTTCCAGTCTAATACTGAGAATACGGATATGGTCTATTAGGGAAGCAGGTCAGTGGCGAGTCCTAGGTTCATTCAATAGTGAGGGTCTTCCTGCGATATTCGGAAAGGGCCCGCACTATAATGCAGTATACGAGATGTGCCGCCCAAACAAAAGAGGTACATTTCTCAGGTGGGACGCTTACAAAAAGGCAGTGATTTCATCATAGTTATGTAAAAGGACTTTCCAAAATATATTTAGCCGACGAACCCTACATCAAGTACTTTCCGGGATCACCCAGTTCCCATAGGTATAGGTGAGCTAGGGATGCAGTGTGCCTACTGTAAGTATATGGAAGGGGAACGTTTTTTATATCGAAGGTATATGAAAGAGCTGGATTTTTGGTCAAACCTGATATTTTCAAAGGTAAGGGTTTAGGCCACAGGACTAACTCTCCCTGACATTTCGTGTTGCGAATTCAACATCATGTAGCAGTTAGCAGATGCCTAACATTTCGTAAGTAATCCAAGTTAAAACTGATAATATCCCGTAGACTACCGCTTATAAGCCCTGGGCTTAAACAACCTTTTAAGGGCTTTTAGATAGGCTTACAAACGGAGGGGCTCATGAGAGGGGCGAGGACTTGTAGGCGGCAGTTTACGGTAGTCAGAAATTGAGAGTGAGGTTGCAATGATCACTAGTCTATGAGCATGGTGTCATAGAACAAAGAGGTATTCTCAGTCTCATGACTGATTGATAGCTAGTTATTCAGGACACAGGAGAGAAGGATATCGTTAACCTGTCCTAAACAGCCCTTATTCTACGGTCAACGATCTAAAGTCAAAATAATTATTTGACCTCGCAAAATGGTTACCATTTTTACCTGGGGTAATGTAGCTCAACTGACAGAAGTCGCCGTGTTTTCCTTCAGGACACACGCACCCATAGCCATCAGGTGTAGAAAGACAGAGGTTTCCATGGTTGCATGAATTATTTAAACATTCGCTAGTTTCATCTGATTGAAAATTATACTGTGATATATGTGAGACACACCAAAAGTGTAATGGAATTAATTTTGCGGAAAATTATTCAACTCAAAAGTTGCCTCAAATAGGGGTGATGATATATACATAAAATATATTATTAGAAAGGCCAGGCTACTTTTTAAATTCCAAATGGAAAGGTAAAGATGTAGCTAAATCTCAAGAGTACAAGGCCCAGCCGAGAGAACCAGTCATCTTGAGCGGTGTAAAGAAGCGTTGAGGAAAGAAAAAGAACGTGAGAACTAAAGCTGCAGCTCGCATTTGTAAGTTAAGAAAAACCAAGAAAAGAATAAAGGAGATGTACATGGATACAAGATCGAGTAGTGAAAAGAATTACACAACAAGAGAAGAAGTATTGAGGGTAAAAAAAAAAATAGCATGTAATGCTGAGAGAGATGGCACAAAACAAGGGGAACGGGGAACTGCATTGAGTAATGAAGGCACACAGACATGCGGGCCAGAAGAACAAAACAAGTTCTGTTGCAGTACAAGATAAAATCAGAAGACTGATAAACGAGCAGAATAAAAGACTAAAGATCTGGAAATAAACCATGTGCCTCTTACTTGCAACTTGTACGATGTATTTTGGCAACCATGACCATCGAAATTGACAACGCAAGTGTAATACCCTGCGTCATCAGTAGGTACTTTGTAGATCACGTGGGAGAAGTGATGGTAAGAAAATTTCGAATTCTCATTATAGGAGAAATTGGCGATCTCAGCTCAAGGATCTGCTTGGTGTCTTCTTGTATCCACTTTGCAGCAGCGAACAACCGTGTGATTTTAATCTTGCATCATAATTTTACTTCCTCGTCAACGGTAAATGACATATTTCCTGTTTGGATGTAAAAATCTGGTGGCTCGTGGCTTAGGTGGAAACGAAATAAACATTAGTTAGTTCTATATCAATCGCTAGTTTCCGCCGTTTTCCAATTACGGAAACTTCTATTGACGAGCTGTAGGTTCTTTGAATACTTGAAGGTCTTTCCAGGATTGCACAAAAAGGGTATATTTTTCAGGATGGATATTTTTTAGGGCAGTCAATTCCCAGCGCAGCCAAGAGAAGCTGTCAATTCCATGAGCTACGCCGGGTGGGTGAGAGTGGAGGAAAGGAAGGGGGACAACCAGAGCTGCAGCTCGATAGCACAGGCCAAGAAAGAGTCAAGTAAAGAAAAAAGAGAGGTACACGGGGAAAACTAGAACTGAGGGGACTTCATCTGAAGGAATAAGGTGGTAAGAAAGGTGACAAATCAGCAGAAAACAGGAGATATTACATCGAATAGTGAGGACCTTGGCAGGTGAGAAGAGAAGAACAAGTACAAAGGTAAAGGAACAGCGTAATAGACTGGAGATCAGGAAATAATATATCGATTTCGGCCAGCCTAAAAGTGTAGCTCCTGGGCCGGGTTGTTCAGAGCCCGATTAAGCTAACCTAGGGAAAGGTAGAATTTTGTTTTCATGTAACTTTGCGGTGACGTTTTCTGTATATATACATATATATATTTATTATATGGAGAAGAGTGTTTTACTGGGAACTAAACCACTCGTAGATTCCATACGCCAAGACGGAAAAAGAATGGCAAAGATTTATGTGTCTTGTGGCATGACGAGATATGGGTGAACACATACATGTACTAGGGGTGGCGAACGATCAGTTTAGTCGAACTTCACGGGTCTGGCAGTCTCGTTTTTTAGCGGTTATGTGTGTCTTTTTATACGAAGCAGGCTCGGAGTCTCGATTTTTCGCAAGGCTAAGGGTTTCAAAGTCCCAATTCGTTGTTTATCGTTTCGAACTTCTCGTCACTTTATAGTGAATTTCAATGAAGCAAGTTACAATTTCCGAGAAAAAGTTAATCCTAACTTCTCGATCCCGGCTAAATTATCTGAATTCCACAAAATGGCTACAAAACCTACCGCAATGCCCATTCTGGCGCCAGAAAAACATTTATTTTGTTCTGGGATATCATAACGTAGTGTGTTGTAACCGAACTTCCAGCTCTAGACAGTTCGAAGAAGCTGGCTAAAAGCCTGCGCAAGATCTTTCTAGCTCTCAACTAAATCTAGGGCTCGAATTTTAAGATTCTGAATAAAAGTCTAGCGCTCGCACGTGAAACCCTTTGAAGTCTCGATCTGGCAATTTAAAATTAAAGTCAAAATGTCTCGGGCTTAAAGAGAAAAACGCTTGTATCACGGTCTCGCAAAGTCTCGCATTTACCATTCGCCTTCGCCACACCTGCTACTGAAATTCGCGTTTGGAGAACTTTATCTTTCGCGGACAACAAAAAATATCTCAGAGAATCGTCTGCCCCGTCTTCTCCCTGTTCCCTAAATCCCCCAGCGTCGTTTGATATTGTGTTGTAGGAAAACAATGAAGTCATCAATTAACTGATGCTAGTTGAGGAGTATTTGTTAGAATGAGTTGAACTGATATCCTTACAAACTTATTCATTTCAATATAGCAAATTACCAAATTAAAGCCGGTCTTGATAAATGACCTGTGAGAGATGAGAACGCATTACCTTTACCATTGCTATCGATAGAGGAGTTTCCAGATTTAGGGCCATCCTTCGTAGCATTACAATGTTGTCCACCCTCACACGAAATATTTGCACAGTTGCCTACAACATGAGAAGTGTGGTTAGTCACAAGACTTATTAATTATAAGTGAGTTTAACTATAAAGAAAATATTGTGTGAATAATAGCAACGGATTTCATTCGTCCCCGGGTCCACGTCAAATTTGTTTTTCGTCGTTGCGCAAACCGCCGCCAGTCAATAGAAGTAAACGTCAATAGAAGTATAAGTTAAGTTGTGATGTACATGTAGTCTTCAAAAAGCTTACAAATATGGCATTAAGCGTTCTTTTTAAAGTTGTTGCCTACGTATATAAAGCGTGATATGCAGAATTTTGAACTTTAT